GGAAAGCGTGCGTATGCATTGTGATACTCTCTAAAATGGCGGAAGACGTAATTCGGGGAAGAAGAATTGTTGAAAAAATTATTTGTTTTCTTTGCACTCAAAAAGTATTCCCGTAGCTTCGCAAAACTGAAGTTGAGCCACTGATGTCACATGGACAGTTTTACTGATGTCCTTACTACGTTTCTGGACATGGGAACATTACAGTTGTGTTGCTGTCTATGCAGGCTCTGAGAGCTCTCACATTTCATCAAAAATATCTTAATTTGTGTTCCGAAGATGAACGAAGGTCTTACGGGTTTGGAACGACATGAGGGTGAATAATTAATGACAGAATTTAAATTTTTGGGTGAACTATCCCTTTAACATCTGGAGAAGAGAAAAGCTACGTCTTTTTAAGAAACGAATCCATCAAGACAATTTTTATTTCAAACCGTTGCTTCCACCTGAAATGAGTCCATAATCCATAATAACGCTTTCTCCAATGAAAAAGTCATCTTGTCTGAACAAGGAGAGAAATTATGCATCGTTTACAAGCCAAAACAGCTCTAAACAAATATGTGGGTGGATTTTGATGTGAGAGGACAACAGGAGATGGACTTTTTCACTGGACGAAGCATTATTATGGATTCTTATTTTGGTCAGAAAAATGGTTTGAAGTTAAAAACGCCTTAATGATGGCTTTGTTTCTTACAAACATGCAGCTTTTCTCTTCACAAGATGTTAATCTGATGGACAGGAAGGGTTTGGATTACTTTTGGATTATTGTGATGTTTTTATCAGCTGTTTGGACTCTCATTCTGACGGCACCCATTCACTGCAGAGCATCCATTGGTGAGCAAGTGATGGAATGCTACATTTCTCCAAATCAGTTCTGGCAAAGAAACAAACACATTTACATCTTGAATGGCCTGCGGCTGAGTAAATTATTTTGATTAACCCATTACTGGACTTGCAGGCCTCCTCCTAAACAGCCGCCCACCCTGCCAAAGCCTCACTTCACAGCCGGAGTGAAGTTCAGCAGCTGAGAGACGGACCGAAGGGATCTCGTCCCTGGAGACGCTCGCTTTTTGCACTATGAACCTCTGCGGGACACATGGTGATGCGAGGGGTGACCTTTGACCCCCGCGGTGCTCTCCCTTTAAACGGTGCTATGAGTCCAAGCTCAGGTACATGTCACGCGTTATTTATGTCGGTTACGAGCGTATTTATTTGAGCACAGTGCACTGTGGTTGACACTTTCTCAATCGTAGCAATTGGTGGTTCGCCCACGTTTACCTGATTGTCCTTTTGTCATTGTTGCTATTGTTGTTGTTTTGACATTTTTCGACTGTGTACCAGCAGATAAAGACGAGACGTGTTATCTGTGAACGTGAACCACATCATGTGGACGCTAAACTGGATTGAAAACCAGATTTAAATGGAAACATGAATTGGGAGTTGATGGTTCTGTATTTGTGACGTCATTTGGTATATGAAAAGGGCTTTTTAATAATTTCATGTGATTTAATGGCCATTTTTATTATATATTTCAGACATGCATGATTAAACCTGAAGTACAATTGCAGTGATGCTTAAGGGATGTTGAAGACACCTATATGAATATTATCTCACAATAACATGTCCAGGTCACATTTTATCCCAAATTAAAGGGAACAAAATAATAAATAAATTTTTGCATAAAGTAAAATAGGTATTTTTAGGCAAAAAATAGGCAAAATAAATGTTTTGTTTGTTTGTTTGTTTTGCTTAATATTTATTATTTTAAGGTATAATTATTTTAAGGTATTTTGTTTTTAATTCTAAGACACTTAAGCTTATTTCCCCCTCATATTTTAGATGAATATTTTGCTTGTTTTTTTATTCTAAATATTATCTATGATGATTCTCATTACTGATATAAAGTAATTTTTATAGTAAAAAAAGTATGTAAAAAAAGTAATGAGAATCATCAGATAATTATTAGAATTTAAAACAAAATGAAATAATCAGGCATGTTACAGTTGTATTTTTTTATATGTAAAATGCAAAACATTAGCAGCGAAGCAGTAAAACAAATACTTTAAAAAATATAAATATTACAATTTAAATAATATATTATTATTATTATTATTTTATTTTTTGCTTTGCATTAATGGGAATTTGAGTGGAAAATGTGCTTAATTTTTGTCATGGAAATCTTAATGTTAAAAATAAGCTTCAGTTTCTTTTCCAGTCTCTGAAATAATTTTTAATAGGCTCTATTTTTGTAAGAAAAACATAATTTCTTACTACTTCCTTTTGATTTTTAGGTGAAATATGACCTGGACATTCACGGAGGGTGTACAATACTGTGCAGCTGAATAATGTTCTGAATTCACTCCATTTCACATGTCTAAACAGGTCTTGTTTCTCTTTTTTTTTTGTGAGTTTGAAAACATTTGCAACAAATGATAAGCACCAAATCCAGCTTGTGTTGATTTCAACGCTCGTAAAGAAGATACAGTCACAGATGTTGTAATGCAGTTGTCTTCCTGTAACCTGTCGGATGTTCAGATAGACGGTTCACTCAGGAGAATCCCAGCTTTGAGAAGACCTTTACTGACTGGAAAGATCTGAGAGGCAGAAAGCCAAACCAGGCCTTGATTTCATGGTCATGCAGTCATATTTTCATAGATGTCCTTTGAGAAGTAATTATTGTGGGGAATTGATTAAACAGATTACATGGATTTTCTTTCTTATCGACCCAAATAATATTGCCGCATGGAGCATTAAAAGTGGATTGGGTTAATGAAAACAGACACATGAATCCTTATCTAAATATTCCCATAATCCCTTTGGTGTCCCTCAAACATGTTGTCAGTGGGTTTGAATCACTGGCAAAGGTTCATGGGTGATTTGTCAGGGTAAATGAACACACTGCACCAAAATAATAGGATGTGCACAAAACATTTAAAAATAGTTTTAGCAGTGATTATGGTCATGAATTACTGTCAACAGGGTCAAAATTAATGCAAATTGGGGTAACGCTTAAAGCATTTATATATAATCCATTATAAAAGTAGTTTTAATGCAGCCTTGTAATGCACCTTATAATGCACTGTATGATCTCATGAATAATTGCAAACGCAGTTATAATTCATTATAATACTTATCTATTCACAACTTTAGAAAATATAATGCATTAAAACACATGACAAACAAACCTTCAAATAGTATAATGCATTTAAACTTTGGTTACAATTATTTATGCATTACATAAATCATTTTATCAATCATTTTACATTAAGGCTTTAAGTGTTACCCAAATTGGCTTTGGTGAGTAAACAGTTTTCTGTAACTTGCCACTTCATGAGGAACTACACCATAATATGATTAAATTGAAATGTAAGAATGATAGTCTGATGCACAATGATGGGGAAAAAAGTCAAATATCTTTCATGACTCAATCTACCATTCAAAAGTTTGTCTATAAGTCGAAAAAAAACAATTTTTGTGCATCAAGGCTGCATTTTTTTGATCAAAATACAGTAAAAACAGTAATATTCTGAAATGTTATTACAATTTAAAATGTGTTTTCTATGTTGAATGTTTAAAACAGTTGTGCTGCTTCATATTTTTGTGGAAGCCATGACTTTTTCAGGATTATTGATAAATAGAAAGCGCAAACGAACAGCGTTTATTTGACATGTAAATCTTTGGTAACATTATAAATGTTTTTACTGTCACTTTTGATCAGTTTAATGCATCCGTCTATTAGTTTCTCTCAAAAATCTAAATATTACTGAAAGTTACCCAAAGTTTTGAATATAATGTATTTTAATAAGAAATATATGTAGTTTGCATTTGCAGGTTGATGTTTGGCACTGAGACTAACAGGCCTTGTTTTATTCAAGACTGAGTCTTCTTACTTTATGCCACTGAGCCATTTATGATCTCAAACTTTAGGCCTGTATTCTGATGCCTTATGAGTGCCATTATATCTCAGTGTTTACATTGTAAATTCATCTTCATTCACTGTATTAGCAAACATCATCATGTCCCTTTGCCTTTTTACAGTGTTAAACCACACAGTGCATTACAGTACGCACTGAGACTGTTCATATCTAGACGCTGACTTGATACGATGATCACGTCTCTAGGTTAACTGCCTTGCTTGTTTTAATCTCAGTTATCATTTAATATTATTCACTTTGAATCACGTTGTATCCGCACTCAGTAAATCTGCTCATGTAACATTCTTTTCATATTTTCTTCAGTGTCACGGGTGTAAACTGCTTTTTTATGATACATCTTTGATAAATCAAGAAATGTGAAATAAGATACTGTATGTTGATGGCTGCAGCACACAAATATCGGTCAGCATAAAGGGCAGCGCTAGTAAAGTTGTTTATGAAACTGATGTGTGGTTTGTGTCATTTAGTTTGACGTCTCTCACTTCTCATCCACAAACAGACTGATGATATTCTGAAAGAATAGATAAAGAAATATAATCAATGAGCTAAATACACATCTTGAGATGATTCATAAGTCGTATCAAGACAAAAAGTGTTTTACCTTCCTTTCAAATGCGTGCGTTATTTGCACAGCGCTAACGCCAGCCTGAAACACAGAGAAAGAGACCAGTCAGATTGGTGAATCCAGAAAATGTGCTTTATGATTTGAGAATAAGCCAAGAGGAACATTGTATTGCTCTTTCATAACTCAGATTTCATTTAAGTGTCACACGTTTCACCTAAAATTCATTAGGAGAAATAAAAACAGACACAAATGTCTGAATGTCAAAATGTCAAAAACACTGCTGTCTGGTTATGCTTGTAGGAGGTTCTGACCTGGTTCTGAATGTTTGGATCGGCTCCATTCTCCAGCAGGGTTTTAACTAGATGCTCATAATTATTCAACACAGCCACCTGCAAGATAAACACGTTTACACATCACATGCTTCAAACGAATTACCTTAAAGGGGTCATATCGATGCGATTTCAAGTTTTCCTTTCTCTTTGGAGTGTTACAAGCTGATTGTGCATAGATAAGATCCCTGAAGTTGCAAAGACTAAAGTCTCAAAACCAAAGAGATATTCTTTATCAAAGTTAAAACTCTGCCACGCCCCCCTAAAACGGCTCATTCTAACACGCCCCCACATATCTACCTCACCATGTGGAAATATTTGCATAATGCGCCCAAATGATCACGCAAAGAAAGAAGGCGTGGTTTCAGGAACAGCAGTTAGTGTTGAAGCAGCCATGTCAAGGAGACGCTGTGTGTTTCTAGGCGAAAGCAAAAGCACTTTATTTGGCCTTCCAAAAGTAGATGCATTTAGGAATCTTTAAGATCACTTACAACAGAACAGCAATGCATTTTATGGACGACCGTTTCGTGAACCTAGGAGAAGAGGTAATTCTGACTTTGCTATGACAATCTGGCGCTTCTGAATCAGCTACTGTAAGTATGTTTTGCTATTAGTTTAAGTATTTGCTATTGACTGTTCAAATGCAGAGTTTTGAGCATCGTGTGTGTGTGTGTGTGTGTGAGAGAGAGAGAGAGACAGCGTCACATCAAAGTGGAGTCAGCTGTCTTAACCACGGCTTGTGTACTGCATCATTACTGTGTCTGTCACGCGACTCTGTTCCCCTTTCGGGCTCTGTCTTTACATTTATTTTGAAAGATGAAGCTCGCGATTATGGTAAGGGGCGTTACATTTCCGACGAGTGCTTGCGGTGTTCGGCCAATCACAATGCACTGGGTCAGCTGGCCAATCAGAGCAGACTGCGCTTGTCGGAAGGAGGGACTTTGTAGAAAACGAAGCGTTTGAGAGAGGCGGGGCATAGAGGACCTACAATAATGTACAGTATTTGAAAAATAATGTGTTTTTTGAACATTAAAGCATGTCAACATATTCTGTTACACCAAATACACAAAATAATGATCTTTAAAAAAAGCACCATATGACCCCTTTAAATGATATAAATGCGTATTTGCTGAATGCTGACGGCAAACAAGAAAGTATTATAATGTTT